AAACCTAAGAATAATAGGTATAGAAGAAGGAGAAGAAATCCACCTCAAAGGGGCAGAAGGCATATTCAACAAAATCATAGAAGAAAACTCTCCCAACCTTAAGAAAGACATGCCAATGAAGGTACAAGAAGCCTACAGAAAACCAAATAGAGTGGACCACAAAAAAAATCCCCTGGCCACATAATAATCAAGACCCCAAACATACAGAATAAAGAAAGAATATTAAGAGCAGCAACGGAAAAAGGTCAAGTAACATATAAAGGCAGACCTATCAGAATTACACCTGATTTCTCCCTGGAAACTCTGAAAGCCAGAAGGTCCTGGATAGATATTCTACCTACACTAAGAGACCATGGATGCCAGCCCAGACTTCTATACCCGGCAAAGCTGTCAATCACTATAGACGGAGAAAACAAGACATGACAAAACTAGATTCAAGCAATATGTGTCCACTAACCCAGCCCTACAGAAAATTTTGGAAGGAAAACTCCAACCCAAGGAAGCTAACTACAACCAGAAAAACATAAGCATTAGAGAATCCCTCTCTACCAACAGCCAAAAGAACAAAGGGGTGAAATTCCACACATAATTCCACCAACAACAACCATTGCAAATCGAAGAAGGATGAGCAATCAATGGTCATTAATATCCCTCAATATTAATGGCCTTAACTCACCCATAAAAAGACACAGGCTAGCAGAATGGATTCGAAGACAGAACCCTTCCTTCTGCTGCATACAAGAAACACACCTCACCCTCAAAGACAGACATTACCTGAGAGTTAAAGGTTGGGAAAAAATTTTTCAATCAAATGGACCCAAGAAACAAGCAGGGGTAGCAATCCTAATATCTAACAAACTAGACTTTAAAATAAAATCAATCAAAAGAGATGAAGGAGGTCATTACATACTCATCACAGGTGAAACCCACCAAGATGAAGTGTCTATCCTGAACATCTATGCCCCAAATACAAAGCCATCCACATTCGTTAAAGAAACATTATTAGAACTTAAATCTCATCCAAAGCCCCACACAGCTATAGTGGGAGATTTCAACACACCACTCTCACCACTAGACAGGAATACCAGACAGAAACTCAACAAAGAAGCAAAGGGTCTAATAGATGTAATGACCCAACTGGGATTATCAGATATCTATAGAACATTTCATCCACATAAAAAAGAATATACCTTCTTCTCACCACCACATGGAACCTTCTCAAAAATCAACCACATACTTGGCAACATATCAAGCCTCAGCAGCTACAAAAAAATTGGAATAACTCCATGCATCTTATCAGACCACCATGCTTTAAAATTAGAATTCAACAACAACTCAAATTGCAGAAAACCTACAAACTCATGGAAATTGAATAATGCTCAACGGCACCATCCCTGGGTCAAAGAGGAAATAAAAAAAGAAATTAAAGACTTCCTCGAATTCAATGAGAATGAAGACACAACGTACCCAAACCTATGGGACACTTTGAAAGCAGTGCTACGGGGGAAGTTCATAGCACTAAGTGCTCACATGAAGAAACAGGAGAACAGTTATACCAGAGAATTAATATCACAGCTGAAAGCTCTAAAACACAAAGAAGCAAACTCCCCCAGGAGGAGTAGACGCCAGGAAATAATCAAATTAAGGGCTGAAATCAATAAAGTAGGAACCAGGAAAACAATACAAAGAATCAATGCAACGAAGAGTTGGTTCTTTGAGAAAATCAACAAGATAGACAAACCTTTGTCCAAACTTACCAAACAGCAGAGAGTGAACATGCAAATTAACAAAATCAGAAATGAAAAGGGGGACATAACAACAGACTCTGAGGAAATCCAGAGAATCATTAGGTCATACTTTGAAAACCTGTACTCCACAAAATTTGAAAATTTAAAGGAAATGGATAACTTCCTGGACAGCTATCATTTGCCAAACCTAAATCAAGAACAGATAAGCAATTTAAATAGAACTATAACCCCTATGGAAATAGAAGCTGTCATCAAAAGTCTCCCAACCAAAAAAAGTCCAGGTCCAGATGGCCTCAGCGCAGAATCCTACCAGAAATTCAAAGAACAGCTTATACCAATTCTTCTCAAAGTATTCCACACAATAGAAGCAGAAGGGTCTTTGCCAAACTCTTTCTATGAGGCTTCAATAACCTTGATCCCCAAGCCACACAAAGATACAACTAAGAAAGAGAACTTCAGACCAATATCCCTCATGAACATTGATGCAAAAATACTCAATAAAATACTGGCAAATCGGATCTAAGAGAGCAACAAAACAATCATTCACAACGATCAAGTAGGTTTCATCCCAGGGATGCAGGGATGGTTCAACATACGAAAATCCATCAACGTAATCCACCATATAAACAAGCTGAAAAACAAAAATCACATGATCATCTCACTAGATGCTGAAAAAGCCTTTGACAAAATCCAACACCCCTTCATGATAAAGGTCTTGGAGAGATCTGGGATAACAGGGACATACTTAAACATAATAAAAGCTATATACAGTAAACCAACATCCAACATCAAAATAAATGGACAGAAACTCAACGCAATTCCTCTAAAATCAGGAACAATAAAAGGCTGTCGACACTCTCCATACCTTTTCAACATGGTACTTGAAGTTCTAGCTATTGCCATACGACAACAAAGGGGGATCAAGGGGATACAAATTGGGAAGGAAGAGGTCAAACTTTCACTGTTTGCAGACGATATGATTGTTTACATCAATGACCCAAAGAACTCTACCTGGGAACTCTTACAGCTGATTAACACCTTCAGCAAAGTGGCAGGCTACAAGATCAACTCAAGAAAATCAGTAGCCCTACTATATACATATGAAAAAAGGGCTGAAAGAGAAATCAGAGAAACATCACCCTTTACAATTGCCACAAACAACATAAAATACCTCGGGGTAACGCTAACCAAACAAGTGAAAGGCCTGTATCGTAAGAACTTTGAATCTTTAAAGAAAGAAATTAAAGAAGCCCTCAGAAAATGGAAAGATCTCCCATGCTCTTGGATAGGTAGGATCAATGTAGTAAAAATGGCAATCCTGCCAAAAGCAATCTACAGATTCAATGCAATCCCCATTAAAATCCCAGCACAATTCTTCACCGACCTTGAAAGAACAATAATCAATTTTGTATGGAAAAACAAAAGACCCAGGATAGCCAAAACAACCCTGTTCAACAAGGCAACGTCCAGAGGCATCACCATCCCTGACCTCAAGCTCTATTACAGAGCTATAGTCCTGAAAACAGCTTGGTATTGGCACAAAAATAGACAGGTAGACCAATGGGATCGAATTGAAAACCCGGGTATTAACCCACACACGTACGAACATCTGATCTTTGACAAAGAAGCTAAAAATATACAATGGAATAAAGAAAGCATCTTCAACAAATGGTGCTGGCATAATTGGAGACTGGCATGAAGAAGAATGCGGATCGATCCATGATTATCGCCATGCACAAAACTTAAGTCCAAATGGATCAAAGACCTCAACATAAATCCAGCCACACTGAACCTCTTAGAAGAGAAAGTGGGTGGTACCCTTGAACGAATTGGTACAGGAGATAGCTTCCTGAACATAACACCAGTAGCACAGACAGTGAGATCAACAATTAATAAATGGGGCATCCTGAAACTGAGAAGCTTCTGTAAGGCAAAGGACACAGTCAGCAAGACAAAAAGGCAGCCCACAGAATGGGAAAAAATATTCACTAATCCCACATCTGACAGAGGGTTGATCTCCAAAATTTACAAAGAACTCAAGAAGCAAGTCTCCAAAACACCAAAGGACCCTATTAAAAAGTGGGCTGCAGAACTAAATAGAGAATTTTCAATAGAGGAGTCTAAAATGGCTGAGAGGCACTTGAGAAAGTGCTCAACATCCTTAGCCATCCGGGAAATGCAAATCAAAACAACTCTGAGATACGATCTCACTCCTGTCAGAATGGCTAAAATCAAAAACACCAACGATAATTTATGCTGGAGAGGATGTGGTGAAAGGGGGACACTCCTCCATTGCTGGTGGGAGTGCCAACTTGTACAGCCACTTTGGAAATCAGTATGGAGATTCCTCAGAAAAATGGGAATAAACCTACCACAAGGACCAGCAACTCCACTGTTAGGCATATATCCAAAAGATGCCCATTCATACAACAAGGATGTCTGTTCCACTATGTTCATAGTAGCATTATTTGTAATAGCCAGAACTTGGAAGCAACCTAGATGTCCCTCAACTGAAAAGTGGATAGAGAAAATGTGGTACATTTACACGATGGAGTACTATTCAGTAGAAAAAACAATGGAATCCTGAAATTTGCAGGCAAATGGATGGCACTAGAAGAAACCATCCTGAGCGAGGTAACCCAGTCACAAAAAGAGAAACATGGCATGTACTCTCTCATATATGGATTTTAGACATAGATCTGGGGAGTGCCAGCCTACAATCCCATGGCCAGAGAGTCTGGGAAATAGGACCTTCATTCAGTGGCTGATGGAAGAAAAGGCAGACTCCCACAGCTAAGCACTGAGCTGAACTCAAGAAAGCCAGTAACAGGGAGGGAGGACTGATGACCAAAGGAAGGGATTAAGACTGGGCTGGTTTATCCCCCAGAAACAGCTGACCTGACAAAGGTTAACTCTTGAACCCCATACTGATGCCTGGGAATCCAGCATGGGACTGATCAAGACCCCCTGAATCTGGGTGTCAGTGAGGAGGCCTAGGTAATCTATTGAGCCTTGGGTAGTAGATTAGTATTTATCCTGGGTATACAAATGGACTTTGGACTCCCATCCAACAATGAGAGATGCACTCTCACCCTGAACTCTTGGGGGAGGGTCTAGGCCCTGTCCTGGATGAAATGACAGACTATGGCCACCCCCATGGAGGGCCTCACCCTCCCTGGGGAAATGAGGGGATATTGGGGGGTTGGTGGGAGGGCACGGGTGGAGGGGAGGGAAACAGAGAGGGACCTGGAATTGACGTGTGAAGCAACCTTGTTTCTAATCTAAATTTAAACTTAAAAATAAAAAATATCTAAAAAAAGTAAATGTGAAAGGTTCTTTCAGCTTGACCTCATTTCGAAGCAATAGGTACCATTACAAAGACTGTATATCTGAACCTGAAGTTCTTAAAAGAGTTTTTAATCCTATTAAAGGAAAATCTCTCATCACTTTCTCTAGAAGTCCATAGTGAAAGGACATAAGAGTGTGAATAAGAGGACCGTTGGAGTGCCAGGCATGGCAAGTGAGTAAAAAAAGAGCCACACCATGAACGAGTAGCTCTCCTAAAAACAGAAAAACAAGACCCCTGGGGAGCACCTGACCATCATGTTACTATCACTGCCAGGCAGTTTTAACATTTCCTTTCCACTAAATTTAATTATTTTTGCATTTTCTGCATGCCCTTGAAAAGTAACCTATATTTGAATAGATTTCTTGTTTTATACTAAGGGACCAATTATGGCATAAAAGCCATGAATCATATTCTCCCCTTCAATGGATGCCCACGTGAGAAGAACAGAAATTCATACCCACGTCAGTTGCGTTTCCATGAGTGCTCTTCTGCCTAGGGCTGTCTTTGGAGACAACCTGTTTCTTCCACCCTCAGCAAGAACTTTCAGCACCCACCCCAGTGGTATTCCCTCTCCTCTCACTCCAGACACTCCTCATCACAGTCAAACAAATCTTCCTCTTTTGGCTGACGTGGTCTGGGTCACTTCAGTGTGGAAAGTCAGTCCCTCTGCAGGCTGAACACTACATACTGTGCCAGGGTGAGCAAGAGGCAAGAGGCGAAGAGAAACGTGACCTTGCAGCCCAAGAACACCACTCCATGAGAGGGAAGGCTGTCGAACAGCGAGATGTTGACCAGTTCCCAGGTGCTGTTGGCTATTTCCTCCACAGGGGCCCTTGGGGCCAGCAGCTTAGAGAGGAGGCTGCTAAACCTGCTCACTGTGGTGGCCACTGGCTCTGGACTGGGGCCTGGCCTGGATGTGGTGAAGTTCAGCTCCTCAGGGTCCACACACAAGCCGTCAGAGGAGCGCTCAAAGACCACCCGGCTGAGGTCCAGACCGGCCACGGAACCTGGGGAGGCACAGGCCACATCAGCCACACGCCCAGAGCCCTCCATCCAATCGCGCAGCCACTCCAGATGGCAGTCACAGTGCCAAGGGTTGCGGAAGAGGTAGAGGCGGCCCAGGAAGAAGCCGGGCTGAAAAGCGGCCCAAGAGAGCATGGTGAGACGGTTGCCATTGAGATGCAGGGCCAGGAGGCCCGAGAGGTTCTGGAAGGCGCCTTCCTCCACAAAAGTGATGCTGTTGCGGTCCAGGTAAAGCAGCTCGAGCTCTTCCAGGTCGGAGAACCAGGCACGCAGCACGTGGCCCAGCTCGTTGCCACCCAGATTGAGCGTGCGCAGGCGGCGCAGGCCCCGGAAGGCAGCTGCAGGCAGCGCGGCCAGCAGGTTGTCATTGAGCAGCAGATGCTCTAGGGCGCCGCAGTCGCCAAAGGCCCCGGCATGCACTGCGCGCACGCGGTTGGCCTGCAGGCTGAGCGAGCGCAGGCGCCGCAGGCCCCGCAACGAGCTGGAGGCCACGGCCTCGATGCGGCTGCGCTCCAAGTGTGCGTGCGTCAGGTTAGCCAGGCCGCGCAGCGCCGCGGGCACGCGGCGGAACAGATTGTCGAAGGCCGTGAGCTCGCGCAGGGCCGGCAGCTCGGCCAGGAGCCGCTCGGGCACGCTGAAGAGGCGGCAGGCCGCCAGGTCCAGGCGGCGCAGACGCCCGAGCGCCGCGAAGGTTCGCGCGTGCAGATAGCGCAGCTCGCCGTTGTGCGCCAGGCGCAGCTCGGCCAGGCGCGGCAGACCCTTGAAGGCGCCGGGCGTGATGAAGGACAGGTTGTTGTGGCGCAGCGACAGCCGGCGCAGTGACGGCAGCGTGCCGAAGGCCCGCTCGCCCAGGATGCGCAGGCCGTTGCGGTCCAGGTCGATGGAGGCCGCCTCGCACGGAAACTCGGTGGGCACCCGCAGGAGGCCCGCACGGTCGCAATGCACCGAGCAGCCCCGCTCCACGCTGCTGCACGTGCAGGCCGCAGGGCAGGCCTGCAAACAGGCCTCGGTGGCCAGGGTGCAGGGCAGGCCAAAGACCACCGCTGGACGAGAGAGGGGCCAGAAGAAGAAAAGACAAAGAACAGTAGTCAGAGGTCACCCCCGTAGCAGGCTATGGATCCTCCACTGAGGACTGCGTCATCAGATGGCCTCTTCAGGCCACGCCCTAGTCCCTGCGTCCCACTTTTCTCTAAGTTTCCTTACCTGTAGCATCACGGTATGTTTTAGAATGTGACTAGAGGATTTGTTGCTTGTGTGGGTAGGGGAATCTCCGAGGGTGTCACTATACCCGACATTAAGGCCTGTGCTCCCCAGTGCCACACGGGCCCCTAACCATTTGAAGTGTGTCCAGCCCAAACTGAGTAATATAAGTATATAGAGGATGCCAAAAAAGTAGAATATTACATCAACAATTGTGTATGGGTTACATATTTAAATGGTATTTTTATATGGTATATCGGGTTAAATATTAATGTCAAATGTTTCTACCTTTTTAACGTGGCTACTTGGGAAATGTATTTACATATGGGGCTTCTGTTAAATTTCTATTGGTGTCATTGGCCCCTTTCACCATAAAAATTCAATTTTCGGAAAACCCCAGCGAGTCAATTAAGTCTTGTGAAAAAGGGGGCATGGGGAGGAGGATGGAAATGAAAGAAAAGCCTATTATCTTTCTTTTCTTTTTCTTTAACAGTCACTTAAAAGTAAAAAATTAAGGATAATCTCAGATCCCAATAATGGTGGAAATAAAAACTGAGACATACAGAATGAAGTCTCAGACAAGTTTCAATTGGAAGGAAAGGGGGACAGCATTTATTGTAGGAGATCCCAGTGCAGTGCAGACGTAGGAGAAAAACAAAACGCCTTTTACCGGGTGGTTTGAGCAGTCTGGGGTCTGGTGGTTTTTGTTAGTCACCAGGCTCAGTGGCTGGTGAGTCACCATGCAGGGTTTCTTGTTATCTTGTGATAAAGGACAAGCACATGCCATACATTGTCTATAAGGGAAAAGGGACTCTTGGTGGGTTATCAGGTTATGAATTAAGGGCATGAGAACCTTTTATTTTCTTGTCCCCATGAAGATTCCTAGTTCCCTATTTCCCCATCTTATTTTACTTTATCTTGTGCCTGTGTGTGGGTGTGTACATGCAGAGGTCAGTTTTCTGCTTTCTATCATGTGGGTTACAGGGATCAAACTCAGGTCATCCAGCTTGGTGGCATGTGCTCTAACCTGCTGAACCATATCACCAGCACTATATGAACTCAATTATTTCAAGGACGGCATATTAAATCCACTATCAGTGACCTCCTCCATCTCAGAAGAATTGATTACGAACACTATGCAGTTAAGTTCCACTCACCAGCCCGTACTCACTAGAAACCTTTTTGCATCATACTGGGAAAGAAAAATGCTTATTAATTTTGTTCTGAAAATTCAAGTGGGTGATCAACTAAAGTCATCAAAACCTGCCCCCTCCCAATGTGGTTGCTACTGACAACAAACAGGGTATCATGGTCTTCTTCCTTGTGCAAGGCTGTGGTCCCAATCCTAGTCTGGGGACCAATAGAAAAGGCAGTATGAAGACTGAGGATGTAGCTCAGTTGGTAGACTGCATGGCTAGCACACACAAGCCCTGGGTTCGGTCCACAGCACTGCATAAACTGGGTATATGATACATGCCTGTAATCCCAGCACTCAGGAGGTGAGGGCAGGAGGATCTCAAGTTCTAGGTCATCATCAGCTACATAGTAAGTTCAAGACCGACCAGGGGTAAATAAGACCCTGTAGAAAAGAAAATAGGAGGAGAAAGACAGCACTGACAGATGGACCATTTGGTTTTCCAATCAGGTGATGTCAGGCAGGGTTCCATTTCACAGTTTATACAAGGAAAATGAGTGTCCAAGAGTAAATGTGCCCAATTTCTAGCTAACACCCTCCCATCATGTACACAGAACCTTGTCTCTAAGCCCCTATGGGAACCTGAAGGCATAGACAACACAGGAGTGTGTTCAAGATGCTTCTTGTTGCCTCTGTAGGCTTCCTCAGCTTCCAGCAGTTCATCTGTTGTAAACACCCATAGTTTTTCAGCTGCCCTGAAGGCCCTTTCAGACTTGTCTTTGAGTATTCAATTGAAAACCTGCTACTTTGATATTCTGCTGTTGAAGAAGCTTGATAGAGCTTTCCCTTCTCCCCAAAAAAACCTGCTAAATAGACATCAAGCTACCAGCAAGATTGGCTGTGAATACGATCTCTGTTGATTGATATACCCTGCAGGAGAGACAGGGCCAAAAGCCTTAACTGCTGTCCTCCACAGAACAGAGGAGTGACCTGTTCTCATCAACCCTTCCAACTAGGTCAAGTTGCAGTATTTCCTTACCAACAGCCCTTCATTCTACTCTCTTCTTTCTAATTAAGAAAAGTACACTCTCAATCCTGTGACTCATGTTTCTCCCACTGAACAGCCAGCATTGTTCCAAGCACACACTATGGCTCAATAAATATTTGTAGAAGTAAATGGAATTGACGCCTTCCTTTATGAACTTCTTGCCAAAGAATGCCTTGTTTTAAGAACTCTTTGTAGACAACCCACAGGATTATAAAAGGGTGGCTTACAACTACCTGTAACTCCAGCTATAGAGAATCACATTATTAACTATACTTTATAATATAATATAGATCATCACAACTGATATATAATTGTCACAAGTGATGCAAGAGATCAAAACGGTGGTTGCTAATGTTTTTAAATGCTTTCAAGCGATCAAGAGATATGGAATGAAGCTTTCCATTGTATTTTGCTCTTTTTTTGAGTTTGGTTGACTGGTTGGGGTTTTTTTGTTTGGTTGGTTGTTTTGGGGGGGGTTGTTTGTTTTGGTTTTTCAAGACAGGGTTTGTCTGTTTAACAGCTCTGGCTGTCCTGGAACTTGCTTTGTAGACCAGGCTGGCCTTGAACTCAGAGATCCGCCTGCCTCTGCGTCCTGAGTGCTGGGATTAAAAACATTCGCCATCATGCCTAGTTGTTGTATATTCTATTTTATGATTAAATTTTGAGCCATGGCCCAGCGGTGATGGGGTTCACCTTTAATCCCTGCACTCGAGAGGCAGAGGCAGAGAGGCCAGCCTGGCCTACAGAGTTCCAGGACAGCCAAGGCTACTCAGAGAAACCCTGTCTCAAAACACCAAGGGAAAAAAGAGGGGGGGAGGAGGTAGAGCACCGGGAGTCTGTCAGGGGGATCTCTCATCTCAGGACTCTCGGTCTTTCCTCACTTCTGATGGCCGTGAGGCAAGCTGCTGTGCTCCACCAAACCCATTCAACATGCCGTACTGCTTCACCACAGGCCCAGAAACATCAAAGTTTCATCAACTGAAAACATCGTGCCTGTGAGCGCAGTGCCCCAAGGGGACAAAGGGACATCTAGTGCTGCAGTTACAGGCAGTTTGTGAGCCACCTGATGTGGATTCTGGAAACCAAACATGGGCCCTCTGGAAAAGCAGTACTTGCTTTTAACCACTGAGGTGGGCATTTTTACCATGATGAAAAAAACACCATGTGGATGTATAAGCTATATCAACACATAGATTGTAGTTTATCTTAAATTTCTACCATGAGAAGCCGGGCGTTGGTGGCGCACGCCTTCAATCCCAGCACTCGGGAGGCAGAGGCAGGCGGATCTCTGTGAGTTCGAGACCAGCCTGGACTACCAAGTGAGTTCCAGGACAGCCTCCAAAGCCACAGAGGAACCCTGTCTCGGAAAAAAAAATTTCTACCATAAGAGATTTATTTTTGGTCTTTGAAACTTTGATAACCATTAGAAACAGTAAGTAATTTACTGGATTAGTAAGCAGAATTTAAGTTGAATCAAGTCAGTTCTCAAAACAGACAAAACTCCAGTATTAGCTTAGCATGCATGAAGACTAGGTAGCTTAGTAAGCCAGAAAAGCAGGACACCAAAAAACTATTTAAAATAGTATAATAATAATAATAATAATAAATATTGTGGTGAGTTCTGCTTGCAATCCTAGCATATCTTCCATCAAATGAATATTTCTGCTGAGAGCAGCAGTATGCCCATAAGTAATGCTACAGGGAGACTGCAAAGAAAGGTCTGTGTGGGCTTCACATAGGAATTACATGAGCGCTTTTAGTACTCACAAACCCAAGCTAATAGCATCAAGACCTTTAGGGGCGGGACCAGGCACTGGGATTTGTAAAGCTCCAAGGGGCTGATTCCAATATGCATTCGAAGTCAGAAACCAAGGACCTAAGCAGACCTACTTTATAAAAGTGGGACTCATCTGTGGGGGGTGGGAGACATTGCAAGATATAACAGAGTGACTGCTGGGTGCCTAGAAGTTCCAAGAATAAGTATATAATGAAAGGAGTCATAAACAGGGGCCGTAACAAGCACTTGAACAGAAACATTCATAGCCCAATCTTCATACCACCCAAGAGATACAAACAACAAATACATCAACAGACTAATGGATGATGAACAAATGGGACATAGTCAAACAAGGAATATACTATGGGTGTGCATGATTGTTCATGGAGGACAGAGGTCAACATGAAGTGTCTTCCGCAGTCACCGCCATGTTAAGTCAGTTTCTTGCTGAACCTGGGGCCCTCCCATTTGGTTAGATGGCTGCTCGTCAGCAAACTCCAAAGAACCTCGTGTCTCTGCCTCCTCAGCACTGGGTTTACGGCTGTAATCTTGCAGCTCCTGCCTTTTATGTGGGTGCTAGGAATAGAACTCAGGGCCTCATGAATGTGTATCAAGCAGTCTGCAGACCTAGCCATCTCTTTAGCCCTCGTTTTTAGTGTCTGTATCTCTTTTGAAAGTCATGTTCCTTTTGCTTTCACTCACTATACCCATCTTTCCCTGTAAATTCTTTTAGCATATGTATAAGAAACCTTCTCTTGGTTATCCTAATAGATAAGCTGTCTCTGGGCCTGCTCTGAAGGTAAATGAAGCTAGATGAAAAGCTATAGGAAGGCAATGAAGAACGATGGAAATGGTAGATGTCTCTAAATATACAAAACCTCTCTTTTCTCACCTTCATTGCCTACCAAGTGATTATTTAAAACAAAAATAGCAAT